TTCATTTCGTTGCGAGATTGTGTAGGGCGGCGAGTTCATTCACACTTCGAGCCTACGAGCAAGTAAAATATAATTTCTACGCCGCCAGCAGCTCCTGTAGTAGGATTATACCATCGGTGATGACCTCGCTCACAAATCGAATATAACAAATTGAATTTCGACTTGTATAAACTGATCAATCCTAATAAAAAGGGGGGAAAATGCCATGATCCTTCTTGATCCTGGAGTATGTCATTCCCCACATAGGCACCAAAAGTAACAGTCAACCTACAATGGCCATGTTTGATAGTTACAATTCACTTCACTACTATAGTCATGCGACTACTTCTCGAAGGCATGCTAAACCTAATAATCCCAGCCAAGTGCGACCATACAAATCATATAGTCAACTCACTAAGACGAAGCTCCAGCGAGCCACACTTCCAAGTTCCAACCTGATCTACTTGTCAGTGCCCAGACCCACCAGTCTAGTCCACAAGAGTAGGCAAAGAGAGCAGTGAATCATGTCAGCTAAATCATACTAAATAACTAACCCCATTGCACAACAGGCATGTAAATCAATGACATTCTTGAGAAAACTCGGGCATCTAAGTAAGGTTATATCCCATGTCAACCCGTGTCAAACCAAGAACGTGCTCGCTATGCCAAGAATTAAATACCAGAGAACTAGTACTATCAATAGACGCAAATGTGTCATGGAGCGAGCTATGAATGTTAGGATTCACCATAGAATGGAATCTAAAGGTTTATGGTCTTCCCAGTTCCCACAGCCTTCTAGGTTCTCATATCCTTTCAAGCTTGACGATTTATTCGGATAGTATAGTAGTACACTCAAAAGAGTATGAATCGACATACTAACTTATTCTAGTCAGTTTTGACTTAAGTAGATAGAACAACCGCAAATCTCCGAGTTTCCTTCCTTCCATACCGTATCAACATCAAACACCACTCTAACCTAATCGAGTCAAGTGTACTTAAACTTCAATACAATGCGAAGTTAGTTAGATCATGCAGCCGGTGAAGGAATGAATCGACAACACCACATTTTGTTTTCCTCGTTAGCAGTGAGTAAGCTCGAAGCAAATTCTATTAACAACACTAAGACAAGCAATCATATACATAATTTTCTTCTCCCGATATACCTACCCAGAAGTCACATATCTCGCTGGAAAGCAATACTACTCTGGGGACACCCCATCTATAATAAATCCAATTAATAGGCCGGGAACGGAGTAAAATGCAGGGGCATTCCATACCAACCAACCCAACAAGGTACGGAGTTTATTTATTGATTGATCTCCTTCTTTCCCTTCCCCAATAAGCCAGCCAGCCAGCCAGCCAGTCAAATCTAAGCCATTCTCATTCATCCATTCATCCACCGATACGGAATTACAATAATGTCCTTTATCCCATGCATGATCCCGCAGCAGCAGCAGCAGCAGCAGCCACACCGTCCTTCTTCAATGAGGAATAATAAATACTAGATGAACAATCATCCATCCATCCAGCGCCCTCGGAATCATTCATTTTGCTATCCAATCACAGTACCGATTAATCACTTTACACAACACAACCCTAGTATGTCATAACTAGTTACTAACTACAATAGTCAGTCACATTCCTCTACTAAGTAAGCCGAAGCCTAACACTCAACCTAACTTACTTAACCTCGGATACGCCCGGCGCAACCGGACAATTTATGCAAACTAACCAATCTCAATAATGGTATAGAACCAACTACTAACAAACTATCGCTTAGCAAGTGTCCCAGCCCCGGGCAGCGGTTCACACGACGATTAGGGCTGAGACGCGCGCGCGCGAGACAACAATGTAAACTAGTCTAGTTATCTGTTTCTGGTCCCGTGGAAGGGCTAATAATTTTTCTTTTTTCGGAATTCCTCGGAGGGTCTAAAGTAGAACGAATGGATCCGAGCCGAAACAATAATCGCCAACCATAGGCCGAGATATTTCCTGTTTCCGACGGCGGCGGAGAGTCTTGCATGGTTTTGGTTGCGTTGACGAGGAATACTAGTTGGGTTTGTTAGTTGCGCTAAATGTTTAGTGCTTCCGTTCCGTCCGTCCGTCCGTGTGCCGGGGTGTCACGTGTGATTATGCTGGATTGGGTGGCTTTTCTATAAGTTATTATTTAGTGTATTGAATTGTCTTCTATGTGAATGGGCGTAGTTGCATATTATGCTTATATTATAGTTTGATTATATTTATCGGCCATAAATCATAACTCGTCTTCTACCAATGTCGGACACTAACCAGGACTTGTTCTCTAGGATCCAACTGGATGGATGACTGTTGTCCTGTCACTAATCCGAGGCGCGTGAGGATTTGCCATACTAGCTTGCGCTTCAAGTTCTCTCGAACAGGAATCTTCTCGAGCGCGTCATACCCGTTGAAGTATTTGATGAAGGTCGGCCAGTACTTCTTGAGCGATGTTCGAAGTCCTGCGTATTCAAGGTCCCCATCGGGGACTTCGCCTTGAAGTTCGGGGAATCGTGCCATGATCTCGCCTAACCATCGGGACTCCAGTGGTGATGCACGGTGCGGATACAGAATGAGCGACGATGTCTTCAATGACGTGTTCTGGTCCAGGAGAGAATGGGAGAGGTCGAGCTCGTTGTTCCGTTTGTACCGGCCTGGCATTGGCGTTTCATCACCGCTTCCATTGCTGTCTAGTGATGATGACGAAGATGAACTAGCATCGTCATGGTCCTCCTTTGTCTCGGTATCTGACGCCGATCCCCTTTTGCTCAAGTATTTGTCAACTTCTTCCTGTCGAAGGGCCGTCTCCACAGCCATCTTGATTTCAGGACTTATTTTGACTCTTGCAAAGGCCCGCAATTGAGTGACCCAGCCACCTCGTAATAGCCACGCTAAGATAGCGAAGTACGTGTCTTTGTGGTCTTTGCTTGGAATGAAGCTTCCGTACGGCCTGGGTGTCCCGCTCATAGCTGATAGCATCTTGGGAAGACTTGGGAGGGTCGGGAACGCTGCTTGATAAGCTGCTGTGGCTACCTCAAGCTTGCTCAGATCACAGTTTGGTGATACGACATAAGTGTCCCTCTGATGGAGCGGAGGGATCGCTCGCGCTCTTCTCCAATACACAAGATGGCTAGCCAGCATCTGGATTGTGGAAAGCGGTATGCCAGAGGACACAGATATCTGCGCAAAGGACTTCGTCGGCTTCGAGCATCGGATATAATGGGCAAGCGCAGGAGCCAGAGCACCCCCAGATGCTTCAACGTCTTTGAGAATCGATGCCTCATTGTCCAGCAATAAGAGCGCGAAATGTTTAGCAAGCACTTGATGGGGGGCGGTGTTCTCATCAGCAGTGGGATCATCGACCGGAGTGACACTGTCCGCCGTTGTAAGCCAGAGACCCGGATATGCCTTGTCAGTTGGCCCAGGAAGCCATGGCGTCGAAGTTAGAGGTGGTATCTGTAGCGAGATGGACACATCTGGACTCAGAGACACCGACGCAATCTTTGATGCCGATATGCTGGTGAACACAGTGCAGATAGCCCTTGCAAGTGAGGACTGGCTGATTAGCTCCGAATAGAGGCTATTCACGGACATTCCTGCTCATCACTGGGTCAGCAACCAAATTCTCTCCACATCAACAGGACCACATACGCTTCTCTTTAGCCTTCTCCTTTATGTGTGAGATATGCTGCGCCTCCTTCCAAACATAATCCGTCCGAGCCTGCTCCCACTTCAGCGCCTTGGAGAACTTCTTAATAATATTATCGTAAATCTCCCTCAACCGCATGGAATATTCCAACAACGACGGATCCAAAACAAACACGACATTAAACATAGTCATGCAATCCTTATCATCCGGATCCAGCGCCTCACTCAACGTCCTGAACGACCTAACACTAATCATCGAGGTCCGCTGATAATCCGTACTAGCCATCTGCTTCGGACTCAACGTCTCCGTCGAAGCAGCAATAAGCTCCGTATCCCGATCAGGGCTATCATCCTCAGCCTCAGCCTCATCACCCCCATCTCCATCAGCAGGAGCCTCATTATGTCCTAGTTCAGCTCCCTCCCAAGTCGCACGAGGCTTCCTCTTCTTCCTCCTCTGCTTCCTCCACGTCCCATCCTCACGCACAAAAACCGGCCACCCCACAAACGCCAAATCATTAATCCCGACTTCAAACCGCCGCTTATGCCACGATCGCGACGGACTCAACAACTTCTCCCACACATCCGCAGGGAGCCCCAATAACGACTCCCAGGGGGGCCGAAACGGCCCGGCCTCATCCTCCTGTCTATCCGACGCAGCGCCCGCATCCTCCTCCGCATCGGAATTCGTCCCTCGTTTCCGCATCATCAGCCCCCGCCCGGACCCCACTGAGCCTGCACGCTGGGACTCCCCGCCCGGCGAGCCGGATATGGTTCCATCATCAACGATGCCGAAGTTACTCGACCGTCTTCCTGCCACCGGGTGACTGCCTGCGATGTGCGAGGCGTTCTGGGTGGTATTGGCTGACTGTGTCGCAGTCCCTGTGGTTGTGGGAGCTGCTGCAGCTGCAGTTATTGATGCCTCGTCCTCATCTTCGCTAGAGGTGGAGCTGCTGTCTTCGCTGGAGCTGGAATCGTTGCTCTTGGAATTCTTCCGTGACGGTCGTCGCGCTTTGGGCGCCCCTCGGAGTCCGTTCTCGCTGAGCGGGTTGGGTGGGTAATGGAAGACGAAGCGCGGACCGGCTCGTGAGCGCACTATTAGGATGATTGCTACCAGGCAGGGGTCTGGTGGCCGTGCAATGGACGACATTGGTCGTGGGTGGGTGTTGGGAGATGGTTTGCTGGGAGCATTGGGTGACTTCAATGGGACGGGCGGAGAGTGATTTGATCGTTTTGGGGTTGGTGTTCTGGCGGGTCGGCTTCCCCGCATGACATTGCATGGTTGCGTTTTTTGCTTCAACGTTATTATGGAGCAGGCAGTTTGACAAGAATTGTACCTATATTTCTTTCTCCACATTTGTCCAGGTATACTTGAAATGAATGCACATCAAAGTTAGGTATGATACACAAGCTATATACAGAACCGCAATCCCAACGCCGGAAATGGAGAAGTAGTATCTATCCATCCATCATCAATCATCGCACACAATAGTACCCTATTTATACAGAGGCCATGCCATCCCCCAATATCATACAACTCTCCAAGCTATCTAGCATATAAGTCCGGCAGGAGAAAACTATGCCTTCTTCTCCGCACCCTCAGCACCCCCACTCGGTGTAGCCTTATCCTTCTCGAAAACCAACCCGAGGTTCTTGAAATCGTCCGGTGCCATAAGATTGCTAGAGACAAGTCGCAGGTAATTAGCTATGAGTCCTTCAATAGCGTATATGCAGACCAAGAACATACTGGTCCATCCGACAAGACAGATACGACTTGGCCAGTTTCCGGCACTCGTCGTCGTTCACACCTCGTCTCGATTTCAGGCACTTGAGGTAGTCGGTGATGAGGTGCTTGCATTCGCCTGTTATAGTAGCAGAAGAGTGATATGTCAGTTATATGTCTCTGTCGAATAGGTGGATAGAGAAAGGGTTCGCGCAAGGCTCAATGCTGTCGACGAGGCGAGATAGGCTAGCCTGCAAATTGGGCGGAAATGAAGGGAGGACTACCGTCATGATCGAGAGGAAAGCTGCCACGCTCGGGACTAATTCATTGGAGAAATATTAGCTCAGACTGTTCTTCTGCGATTCTGGGCTGTCTGCAGGTATATTCCCAAGGCCGGGAAGGGTATAACTCACGGCGTAGGCTTCATGGGGGCGGCACCGCCACCGGGAGCTCCGAAACCCATGATGACAGAATAGTATGTATACTCCGAAGCTGAGAAATAAATTGATAACGAATGAATAATTGACTGGCTCAATATGTCGTCCTCTGTATCGGACAAATGCCGGACTCGATTGTTGCTGAAAAACGGCACAGCGAGCGGTCCGATAAGAACAAACAAGACAATCGTGACAAACACACAGACAAACAGAGCAAACATCTGCTGATCTATGAAGAGTCATGCAACGAGACAGCGCAGAGATAATGAGCTCGTGACCTTAGACCCTCTATAGAATTAAGCCAAGTATGTTATACTATACACTTAACATGTCTTTATCCCATACCCTTGAAAATATTCCTCTAGAATGTGATGTGGTAGCAAAATGCGGGGTACCCAACCGCAAAACGATGCTACAACAACATGCAGAGGTGGAAAATGATAAACCAATGGACAAAGAGTAAGCGACGATAGCTGCATGGTATCCAGTGCTATCCGAGCGTCGCGGCGAATCCAAGTTTGCATGTGCGGAGTCATTGACCCAGCCCCTCATGGATCCAGACAATCCGAGTTTGCATGATAGGCCTCTTATATGCCAATGACGTTGTTGCATCCGAGGCCGTTCCGGACACGGTCCTGGTACTATATAGATAGTCGCAATCCTCTGTCCTGTCAAGCAAGGTTCGACTACTATCAGTAGTACAAATCACGCTTCGCACTTGACAATACTATACTATTCCCACGAATACTTGACCACTTGACCATTATGCCGATGTAGGCCTCCCGCCATACCGATGAACTTTCGTGTACAACGACACAGACTTGATACGAGCAGTATTTGTCGAATAGATACTAACAAAGAACACAGGAAACTTGAAGGCAGCTGTCAGTGTGGCAGCGTTGAGTTCACACTCGAATCATCGACCCCAGTTCCTTATCAACTATGCGCCTGTAGCATCTGCCGGAAGGTCGGCGGATACAGTGGCAGTGTCAATCTGGGCGGTATTGCTGATAGCCTGAAGATCAAGAAGGGAAAGGACTTGATCAAGTATGTCACGCCAATCTTCTGTTTAATATGCGGTCTCTTGCCTGCTTCTGAATATTCTATGCGACTGTTGAAGATGGCAGTTCAGAGCTGACCGGTTTAGGAAATATTCCGCCGTCATGGCGCGAGGCACACCGGATGAGAAGATCTGTGCGTCGGAGCGGAATTTCTGTTCCAATTGCAGCACCATGCTTTGGCTGTGGGATCACCATTGGCCAGAGCTCATTCATCCTTTTGCTTCGGCCATTGATACGGAACTGCCGGTCCCTGATGAGATGGTCTGCATCATGGAGAGCTCTAAGCCGGCTTGGGTGCGATGGCCAGAGGGGAAGAAGCAGGTATTTGATGTTTACCCAGAGCATAGCTTGGAAGACTGGCACAAGAAGCACAATTTGTTCTTTGAGTAGATGGAACACTTTAGGTGACGACGATACGAAGTTTTATGAGATGTGGACTATGATTTACAGAAAAGTGGGAGCATTGTTTCAAGACTTGAAATCATTATCATTATCATTAAAGTAGCTATCCATAGGCGAGTGACCTGCACAATGCAATGTTAGCAGCTGTATAAACAGACACTGATGCATAAATGTGTATGGGTGAGAAGTTCAGGTCTCCAAGGTGAATCTTTGTTGTTTCGTCAAGGTGGTTCGGTAAGAACACAGCGATTTAAGAATTCATCATGCAATAATGAAGAAAACACGACAGGGTATACTCACACTTTGGAAGCTTCATAGACCATTTACAAGATGTTCCCTATTACTTTTCGACAAAGTTAGCATCACGTGCAAGACATAGCATGAGTGACACAAGCATTGAGATGTCAACGAAGTCAGGCTATGAAACGGGTTAGCGCAAGCACATTGGTATCAAGGGTATGGTCACTACCAACCTCATTAAATCAGATTTTTTTGTAACATGTTCATTTCCAAACACATGGCGTGCAGGATCAAACAGTGTGAATAACAAGATTCATCATGTAATGTTGACTTTGGATATATGGGCAGATAAAGAGGGTAGTTGAGAAAGACAGTACCTGTCATGACTTGTTAGTATGACTTGGATCGGAATTTTCTGGTAATCGCAGAACGATCGATGAAAGCTCAGGTGACGAGTTCTCAACAATGTGTACACTTCCCCAACACCCGCAAAGTTTGTACGCTTTGCTTTTGATGGATGCGGGTCAATGCACACGTTCTGTCCGCCCGTTCGTTCAAAGTATCTTCATCGACGGCCAACAATGGCATAGAGATGGAATGGTTGGTATTTACCTATCACCAGCAAGTTAGCAATGGTCACAAACAAGCTGAGTGAAGCAATGAGGTTATTTTGTAGTTGTCAGACAAGGCTGAAACTTGAGTTAAAACACGAATTCCACATAGTGATTAAGTTTGAGGAATGCCTTAAAGCGTGTCATAGGGTCATCATACAAGGGGAGGAAGAACATATAGAAAGAAGTTGTGCTTGCATACCTTTTAGAATATGAAATCATACATCATGTTGTCAGAAGATGTTCGTCATCATTAGACCATCTATAGTAGCACAATGTCAGCAAGAGTTCAATGCAAACAAGAAGCCGCAGGCAATGATGGTTTCTTTGGTATCAGAGTAATTCTAGAGACTTTTGGAAGGTCCTTCATGCATTTTCGGCCGTGGAGACTCCTGTTAAGGAATTCATCCTGATATGGTAGGGATGTATAACTGAGGGAGCAAAATTTGTGAACTCACATCTTCATTGACAAGGCATGCTCAAATACAATCAATTGTCATTGACTGTATTGAGCATGCCAGTAAACCAACTTAAGTAAGTTGGGTTGTCGACTAGTGCATCTTGTTGATGCGGTTGCAAGCTTGGGCAAGTTGAGAAAAAAATTATTGTGGGTTGCGCCGCGGTTTTATAGGTGGGCAGTTAACACCACGGCTAGCGAGTATCACCAAGAGCGTTGTTTGACCGGAAAACAAACACTTTAGTGTCGAGGACCCACCCAACTAGTACCATTACTGCTACATCTCTTACTGTCTAGAAAATGCTCATCTACAAGCTTCCAAAAGCTATGAGTTGCCAGAATTGAAGCAATCAGTCATTATTTAAAATTGATTGGGCTGCCCAATGATGGTTTGCTCGATCCCGCAGGGTAATGCTTCCTGAACTTTACGCTTTCCCACTTCAAACTCGCAGGTCCTAGCGGAGGACTTGATTAGTTCTGGTCTCGTCGCTGAAAAGGCTAGGGATTGGGACTGTCATATCGGTAGACTTGTACAAAACCTGGAGATTAACTCATGGGCTGGGACCAGCTCCGGCTTCTCTTTTGACTGATTGTATTGCCTAAACACTTCAGCCGACCCTTAACACATTACTCTCCTCATCACTATCAACTATCACCAAACAGCAATGATTAAGCTGGTCTTCCAGATCATTAAGACCAAGAAGATGGGATAGTAGCACGCCAAGGTTTTGAACTATTTCCTATCTGTCGCCGTCGATGTTTAATTCCCAACTAGATACACCGAAGTCTACCCAAGGTGATGAGAGGCCTGCTTCAGATGGCAATTAGTCGGGTATCGACCAAACTCGTCAATGAAATACTGACGAAGTATACCGCATTGTTGATGCTTCCAGTGCTGTTCCTTTCTACCTGACTCATGGGAGGGCTTCGTGATGATGTGATGCGTTATATGCAATGCATGCTTCATTCTTATACTCACCTATAGTGTCTAGACCGCGATTGATCGCACGTATCCCCTTCTACAAAGTACCTGTATGCAAAGTACCGTGCCAAAGGTGGAGGTATAGAGAGGTTGGCAAAGCGGAATTGGCAAAAGTCCTGCAGATGATACCACAAGACAGATCGGGCTCAGGGACCTAGCGAAAACTGAAAACCGTCTTGAGCTAATAGAAGAGAGGGATTGAGGCAAAGACCGGTCAGCAAAGCATCCTACATAGCTCAATAACTCACTCCTAGGACCGACCATCCATGGATTGTTGTCATGCCTACTAAGCCTTAGATCGATGCCCCGGAGCGGACGCCACGGCAATCTACCCACTGATTTGCAGTTTTCAATCATTCCACTATGATCGACTTGCTCTATTTCATTGAGGATGGAAACCTGTCAATCTTTCACTGGGCCTGTCCCATGAGCATATACAACCAATGGATTTCGGCCATCGTGGCTCACAGTGGGATGTTGGCTATAATTTTTAAACTCCGAAGGAAAACATCGTATGGCAACATGTAGTACACCGAGAGACCGTCTTAGTAAGTTTGTGCAGGTATCTAGTAAGTACTTACCCAACGCTTTCAACTTGTTGCCTGTCTGGATTTGCAGTGTACAGAGCGATCCAACATCAGGATATATTGAGTAGACCCACAGTGGAGGATTGGTACCTGCTTGTTAACACAATGAGGTAACCCCTCGAGCACGCCTTTGGCACAAAGTATGTCGGGCTTCGAATCGTCCAGAAACGCTCGATTAATGCTCCCTGATTGCGATTTGTTGAAACATTAACTGTGTTAGCTCCGCTGAGGGCCAGTCTGGATCGGAGCTTTAGTGGGTCCGTCTCAAAACGTCATCGGCCCTCTCCCGACAGAAACCCAAAGTTCTATCTGCGTCAATTTGACGTCGATCCATGTTTATGATGCTGCATTCACCAGGATTTTGTAATGCAATTATGCGCTGGAAGATGGCCATAAAAGGGGCCTTCTTCCCGGCCAGCCGTTGTTCACCAGCACATAATAGCCATTGACTCAACCATACTTCAATTGACGCATACTACTCAAAATGACGACCACATTCAAGCTCAACACCGGCGCTCAAATCCCCGCCGTTGGCTTTGGAACCTGGCAAGACGCAGAGGCACAGGAGCAAGCTGTCCTTGAAGCTATCAAGGCTGGATATCGCCACATTGACACTGCTAGAATGTGAGTTCGCATGCTCGACTGATCGAGTATCGTCGGTACGCTGACATGATACTGCAGTTATGGAACAGAAGAGGCTGTAGGAAAGGCTATCAAGAAGTCTGGCGTGCCTCGTGACCAACTGTTCATTACCACCAAGCTCTGGAATAACAAGCACCACCCCGACGATGTAGCGCAGGCGCTTCAGGACTCGTTGAACGACCTCGACTTGGAATATGTCGATCTATTCTTGATGCATTGGCCTGTGGCCTTCAAGAGAGGAACTGAAAAGTTCCCCAAGAACGAGAGTGGCAAGCCAGCTGTGGAAGATACTGACTACGTCGATGTATGTATTCCATCCCCTTACACAACACCAACTATGCCCAATGAATGCGCTAACTTACCATCTCTGGTAGACATACAAAGCCATGGAGAAGCTCCTTTCAACCGGCAAGGTGAAAGCCATTGGCGTCTCCAACTTCTCCAAGTCAGAGATGGAACGTCTCCTTCAGAACAGCTCCGTCGTCCCTGCAGTCCACCAGCTTGAAAGCCACCCGTGGCTGCAACAGCGTAGCTTCGCCGACTGGCACAAGTCCAAGGGCATCCATGTCACCCACTACTCTCCCTTCGGAAACCAGAACGAGCTATACTCTCGCGAGGGCACAATTGGCAAGCTGATTGATGACCCCGTGCTGGTCGAGATTGGAAAGAAGTACAACAAGAGCTCTGCGCAAGTAGCACTTGGTAGGTCCCATATTATCTATCCTCGCGAAGAAAGAAGCTAACACTCTGTAGCCTGGGGTATCAACGAAGGACACTCAGTTCTTCCCAAGTCAAAGACTCCATCTCGCATCAGAGACAACCTCCAAGGCGACTTCAAGCTAGACGCCGAGGATCTCCAGAAGATCCGGGGCATTGACCGCAAGCTGCGCTTCAACGACAGCAGCGCCGACTTTGGCCGAGAATTCTTCGGCGACTTGGACGGCAAGCAGAAATAAAATGGTGTCTTGCAGCTTACATGTCTATTAATTCTAAATGAGGAAACGAAATGCAACGAATACAATATTACTCATATGCTCTCTCCCCTCAACACCCCCACGAACCTCGTGTTCACCATCCCTCGTAAATATAGTGTAGATCAGCAAGGTGGTAAAATTAGAGTTCAATGAACAAGGCCGTACCACGATCCCAATGATTTGGGTTCAGAAACGCCTAGCCTCGTAGCCTTTACTATTCTCATCTGGTCGGGTCACCTGCCATACACATAGTTACTTCCATACGAGCCGAGTAGCTAGCTACCTACTTGCAACAATTCCACCCCATCATATCCAATCATCCAGTTCCCTTATACATACCAACACCAATAACAACAGACATCAAATTCCATACTATATATAACAAACAACTTACAATGTCACCCTCCAAATCAGAAGATACCCCTCCCCCCGCACCCCATCGTCACCACCTCTCCTACCAAAACTTCTCCAAGCGCCTAATCCTCTCCTACATACTCGACTGGATCCTCATAATGTACGTCCACCCCAAGCCACACTCCCCAAAACCAAAACACTACTAACCCAAAAATTACCCCAGCGGAGTCGCCCTCATCGGCTACGGCTTCAACCAAACAACCCCCAACCACCGACC